GACGAGGACGAGGAAGAGGGAGATGAGATTTTTGGGGAGGGTCATTTTGTTGGTGTGGGGAAGAATGAAAGAGAGGAGGAGGGAGGAGAAGGGATTATATAAAGGTGGGGGAATGGGAATCGGGAGGGAAATGGGCTGGAGACAGCTGCAAGGTGTGGGCACAGTAAAGAGAGAGAGAGAGAGAGAGAGTGATTTTTAGTCTTTTGCTTTGAGTGTCACTGTCTCTCTCTCTCCTCTCTCTATCTTCTGTTTCTTCTGGAAAACCGGGAATCGGCTTTTTTGAGAGGTGCTTCTGTTTTGAACTTGTAAAGGTCCGAAATGATTATTGTTATTTTGTTTTGTATTTTTATTTTTACGGTTCTATCTGAATGAAAAAAATAATAATAAAGCAAATGCTAAATTACATTTTGATCCCTTTGGTGATTCGAATTCGATTTCATTTAGATTTCTGTAATTTACTATGTTATAATTATAATTACACGTGTCAAGTATTAAGAAGGGTGGTGAGCATACACATTAAGTTAAAGTAGTGAGCAAAATATTTCCCAAAATGAATACTAAGCACGATCGATCATACATGTCACCTGTAAATTTGTGTAAATTTTAGAGATATTTAGTCATATATCCATTCTTAGCACTAATAATATAGATAAATCATATTTCATTTAATTTTTATAAACAAACCCAAAAAAACCCCCCAAAAATTGAGAAATTTTTATATGTTCCGGATACACCACGTGGCTGGTGTACCATCAAATAAATATAGAACATGTGGAATTATTGTTCAACTTACTGCATTTCTTTTTATGACATGTGATGGGCTGCATTGGAAATATTTCATATGTCCTTCATCTATTGGATGATACACCAGCCACATTGTGTACCTGGAACACCCAAAAATTACTCCAAAAAATGACAGCTGGCCCCATTGAATTTAATTTTGATTATTAAATTACTTTGATGCCCTATTGAGTGTTTTGGGTTTTTTTATGAGGTTTTGGGGTTGAGTTTGTTTTAAGAAGTCAATGACAGTTTTATAATTTAAAAGAAGTTAAAACCCTTTTTTTATGTTGTAAATGCATTTTGGGTGCGTTTCTAAAGTCCGTTTCATATAAGTTTTTTTATTTTTTTATTTTTATAATTTGGGCTCCTATATTTGGTATAATAGTGAATTTCCCTAAACTTTATTGTAAGATTCACATTATGGTTACGTGGAAGATTATCTCTAACATAACTCATTTTGCTTAATTTAGTCGACGAAAATGTAACCTATTAAATTAGTTATATATATTTTTTTATACATGCGATATTCTACTTTAATCTAATCTAAGCTACGGAGAGTGGGATTCGAAGTCGAGTGTAGAGTGAGGAGTACATCCGCTCTAGCCAACTTGACTAAGCAAATATGCGACTAGTTACATTTTTTTGTTAATTCACGATCTGAATGCAATTGTTAATGAACTTATAAATGCTGAAAAATACTTCAAACTAAGAATTTAACACTCCTTGATCCCTTGTATTTTTCTTTTATCATGTTTTAAATTAGGGGACTCATTTTCCCACTCCCTTTTTATCCACTTACACTCCATTTTTCTAAACAAAAAGGAATGTAGGTGGATAAGAGGGGAGTGCAAAAATCATTTACCTTAAATTATTTAGGAAAATTGAAATGATCAAGTACCATCATCACTTTGCCATTGACCATTAGGCATGGTGTTTGTCGGCATCCATGGGGAAGATAAGAAAGCAAGGAGGAAAGGGGATAGAAATGTAAGGTGGGATGCTTTTAATTTTGGTAAAGGATAAAATGCCCATGCCTTATTTCTTTGTCGTTACAAAAAATTATACTGTAAATCACCAATCTCAATAAATAGAAAAACAAAGAAAAAAACCGCAAATCACATGTATCAAATAAATTCAAATATTCATGCATTTGTAACTAATTTCATACTCGCAATTTTATTATATGTATTTGACGAGTTTTGCAGTTTAGTTGTTCATTGAGATGTATATACGGCAATTAAGTATTTACTTTGGATTTAAAAAAAATTACTTTTATTAACAAAAAAAGGGGTTGTTTTTGTTGTGACAACGACTATATATATATATCCTAAAAGCTTGGGGCAATGTTTATTATTGCCAATATTAGTAGCACCGAGTACAATTTTTATTTTCATTTAATGTTTTTTTTTTGGTCTGAGAAAAAAAACAGTGAATGTTGAGCTGTCCGATTACAGCACAATCAGACAAGTGAGTAAATTTTATGTCTCCATAATTGATGGAAAAAAGTGTGAAAATTACATTTAAAGTTGACCCAGAAATTCCATGATAAGCCAATCTTTCATTGACTTTCTTTTTGCACTAATTGAGAGGCCATTGCTCTACAAGACCAAGAGGCCAATGTGTTTAAGCTTATTATAGATCTGAGTTTCCAAAAATATCTACTCTTTTATGCCCCCAGTCTCATAATATCTAGTGCAACCACAGCAGTTGCATTTAATGCATCCATAGACTAAATATAGGATCATACTTATGTATAGGCTGGACTGATAATAATTACTTGAATGACACTATTAACAATTTATTACTTGAATTCAATGAAGAAAATTACTAAACTCAAAAGCATCCTCAGCCAAAAAGCTTGGCGATGGAGAGGGCGAAGGGGTTAAAACAAGAAAGACACCCCTAAGCCTAACAAACTCAAAAGCGTCCTCAGCCAAAGGCTTGCAAAGCAAACAGCTCCAATAAAAATAAATTTTGAATTTAGGGATATCGGCTTGATCTACAAAGCCCTCTGCTTTATCATCTCAACATCTTTGCCATACAACATGCATATCCCACACTTCTCCACCGGAACGGGTTCACTATCAAAAAGAGTCACGGTGAAGTCAACATTGACTTCAGTAACAAGTTTGTAAAATGCAGCGAGGCTTTGAGCTCCCTCTACAACTTCTTCAAAGACATTATTATGCCACCACACATACACCTCATGTGATTCTGTGACATATTCAAGGTGCTGAGCATACAAATGATGGTTGACTTCATGACTAGTTTTGGCGTTGTATTTGCATATAATGTCCGGATCCCACTCACATGGATCAACAGCAGCAGCAACAACAAGAGATAGAGCGAAACCCAAGAAATTTGTGCTAAACCAATCGCGAGGAAGCTCAATCTTTATTGAACATCCCTCACTTTTATGGCTGAACCAATTTGGAATTTCATTCCCAGTACAACTAATGGCAACAAAAGATCTCTTGCGTAAAGATTCCTGTACCATGGATATGGACATCGTAGTTATTAAAGTCATGAAAAACAAACAGCAACTTCTTCAACAGAAGAGAGAGAGAGAGAGAGAGAGAGAGAGAGAGACCTCATAGTCATCGTAGCTATTATCTGAATCATCACTACTATCTGAATCATATGATGGTTGTTCAATTTTGTCTTCTTTAAACTTTGACGATGCAGTTGCCATTCGCATAATTCTGAGCTGTGCATCAGCCATTATGTTGCTTCGTGCATTCTCATCCAACTTTGGGCAATCAGAAAATATATGTTTCTCATGAAGCCTTCTAGAAAATATATATTCTTCCCAACCTTGTGTGATTGCAGTGCTTGAACTTGACACTGTCTTCAGTGACGTGCAACCATCTGCTTTAAGACGTTGCAACAATGGGGGGAACTCTGGTAAAGATTCAAGGCTCTTGCAATTCTTGAGGAACAGACGAGACAGTTGAGCAGCTTGTTTGACACTTGCAGGTATGCTCTTAATTTTGGTCCAACTCAGATCTAACTCTTGTAATGAGGTTAAGCAAAAGAGGTCATCAGGGATTTCTTGTATACTGCACTTAACCAGGCGTAATTTTTGAAGCCCAACTAGATTTCTAATTGATGGGGGTACCTCTTTAACCTTTGTAAGTGATAAATTTAGAAACTCCAGATGTTCCATAGCCTCCGAGATTTCTGGTAAGTGTTGAAAGTTATAGCAACAACCGAGATCAAGGCTCTCCAGATATTTCAACTTCCAAATGTTCGTTGGGAGACTCACAAGGCTTTTGCAATCGATCAGTTTAATTGCAGTGAGACCAACAACAGACTCTATTGATTCATTCCTCAATTCTTTTATTTTTATCCACCTAAACTCTAGCACTGTTGTATTCTTGGGAAGCTCCCAAAACTCGCAAAGAGATTCGCAGTCTTTTAGACTAAGATTACTCGAGAGTTTCAGCTTACAACGGTTGCTTGGAAGACTCTTAAGGTGTTGACAAGACTCAATATTTAAGTGAGATATTTTTTCGTGAGACCAAACGGATGCAGGCAATTCCTCTATTGCTGTATGATATAAATCTAAGAATTCAAGATTGCATGGCATCTCAGAAAGATTTTTGAGATTTCTGCAGCACCCAAGGTCAAGATAAGTAAGCTTGCCAAGATGTTGAAAATACGAAGGAATTTCAACCAAACTGTGACAGCCATTCAGATCTATATGCTCAATTTTCCGACTCCGAGAGAGATTTGG